AGATATTATTTTCCTCATGAGGAAACTGAGGTACAAAGAAACTCAGTTTCTCACCCACAGTCACCCACTAGGAAGTAGAGCTGGGGTCTGGATCCAGATCCATCTGTCTTTGCTGGTGATGCAGAGTATTGTGCAGCAAATGGCTGGGCGTGAGCCTGCCCTGAACAATGCATCTTCCCCTCAGTTTCTGGCAGAGCAAAAAATGGAATCTGAGTCAGCAAGATTCTGAGTGTTTCCAGAGAATATGGCTGGTCACTCTCAGCACTTCTTACTGGCACAGCCCTTACGCAGTTGAGTGCCCCCATCCCTCCCTTGTTAATCCACATCTTGCTAAGAACCCATTTAGTCCCTGGGCTGAAATTCCAAGGGTGGCTAGAATGAAAAGGCAAAAGTTCATAAAAAGCATCTCAGTTTATTCTGCCTGCATCAAAGCTCAAAGCACTTAAAAATTGTTTTTATTCTTTATTTTATTTTTGAGAAAGAGAGAGACAGGGCACAAGCAGGAGAAGGGCAGAGGGACAGGGAGACACAGAATCCGAAGCAGGCTCCAGGCTCTGAGCTGTCAGCACAGAGCCCGACGCGGGGCTCGAACCCACAAGCAATGAGATCATGACCTGAGCTGAAATCGGCGCTCAACTGACTGAGCCACCCAGGCGGCCCGCACTTTTCTTTTTAAAATATATATTTATTTATCTTTGAGAGAGAGATTGTGAGTGGGGGAAGGGCAGAGAGAGAGGGAGACACAGAATCCGAAGCAGGCTCCAGGCTCTCAGCTGTCAGCACAGAGTTGGACGCGGAGCTCGAACCCACAAACCGTGAGATCATGACCTGAGCTGAACTTGGATACTTAACTGACTGCGCCACCCAGGCACCCCAAAGCACTTTTCTAGATGTGAAGTGGAGGTGCGGGAAACATATTATTTGGGAGAAGAGAAGGTAGTCATCCGGCAGACACAGCAGGATGGCCCTTCAGTGCCATATGTAATTCTACAGACAAAGTAAAGTCCAGACTCTGAAGGTTGGGATGAAAAAACTTAGTTACAACTTTAAACATGCTCCATGATCTGTTCGTAACCACCAAAGAATTCTTTTCTCCAATGTATTGACACCCGTATTAATTCCGCCTTGCCAAAGAAAGTGCTAGATATTTTCCGTGCACCTCTAGGGGGAAGAAGAGGAGTCAGCATGTATAGTCTTTCAGAAGTGGAAACGCTCCCTTGCTGTGAGATTTTTCCAAATAATCTGCAATGTGTTTGCATGAAGCCATCCCAGGGCTCATTCCCTCCCCCTGGTGGCCAATGAAGGGCATTTTCATGCTGTCTAGCCAGATTTGGTCGGCTTTGCCTGGCGTGGAAGCTTCTCCAAGATCAAACCCCACACTAAAATGAGAGGTAACATCACTGTTTGTAAATGGTCTTAACTGTCCTCTTTGGAAAGGTGAACTAAATGTTTCTTGCGCCCTTGTGTAAAACCGAAGATGGTATTTACTCTGTTTGCTACGTTAGCACAAGTCAGTTGCCTTAAACGTTCTCCAAAGCGCTTAGTCCGCATTGCCTGTCCATTCACCTGGCGTAATGGAAAAGATGAGCAGAGGGTGCAGTAGCCAGGGCTTTGGTCCTGGCCCTTCTGACTCGCTCTCTGGCTTTGTGCAAGTCCCCTCCTCTAGCTGGCAGGGGCATTTCAAAACTTCTAAAAAGCAAACGTTTCAACTAGGTATTCTCATAGTCCCTCCCAGCTGTAATATTGAGGAATTCAGTAAGAGCTGAGAAAGTGTTCCCGGGGTGTCTGGGTGGCTCAGTCGGTTAAGCGTCTGACTCTTTTTTTTTTTTTTTTTTTAGTTATTTAATTAGTTTACCTCCAAGTTAGTTAGCATATGGTGCAACAATGATTTCAGGAGTAGATTCCTTAATGCCCCTTATCCATTTAGCCCATCTCCCCTCCCACAACCTCTCCAGTAACCCTCTTGTTTGTTCACCATATTTATGAGTCTCTTCTGTTTTGTCCCCCTCCCTATTTTTATATTATTTTTGCTTCCCTTCCCTTATATTCATCTGTTTTGTATCTTAAATTCCTCATACGAGTGAAGTCATATGATATTTGTCTTTCTCTGACTGACTGATTTCGCTTAGCCTCACGACCTCCAGTTCCATCCACACAGTTGCAAATGGCGAGATTTCATTCTTTTTGATTGCCGAGCAATACTCCATTGTCTATATATACCACATCTTCTTTATCCATTCATCTGCCAATGCACATTTGGGCTCTTTCCATACTTTGGCTATTGTCGAGAGAAGTGTCTGACTTTTTTTTTTTTTTTTTTTGGTGCAAAAAGGTGATTATTTTTTATATATTTTTTAACGTTTATTTATTTTTGAGACAGAGAGAGGCAGAGCATGAACGGGGGA